CCACCCAGGGAGCCGCGAAGTCTCAAATGCGCGTGGCCCCCGACGCCACTGGACCTTCTCAGGGACCAGCGAAAGTGGCGACATGCGCGGCATTTCACAGCTTCCCAGGGAGCGGCAAGGTCTCGGCTGGATGCACGTGCACCTGCACTCCGGTGGACCTCCCAGGAGACCGCGAAAGTGGTGACAATTGCGAAGTTCGCAGCCAGCCAGGGGGCAGCGAGGTCTCAAATGCATGCGCGTGGATCGCAGACACCCAGGGAGCAGCTGGATGCGCGTGGCCCCCGACTCGGCTGGACCTTCCATGAGCCCACGACAGGGGCAACAGTTGCTGCAGTTCGCAGCCCCCCAGGGAGCCGCGAGGTCTCAAATGGATGCGCGTGGCCCCCGACTCGGCTGGACCTCCCAGGAGCCCACGAAAGGGGCGACAGGTGCTGCAGTTCGCAGCCCCCCGGGAGCCGCGAGATCTCAAATGCATGCGCGTGGCCCCCGACTCCGCTGGACCTCCCAGGAGCCCACGAAACAGGCGACCGTTGCGCAATTCGCAGCCACCCAGGGACCCGCGCTGCCGTGGAGGAGGCAAGAGGCAGGAAGTGGGAGGAGGGGGAGGAGTAGAGGAGGAGTGATGAGTGGAGACCACAGTGCTCTTCTCGAAACGAGAACCCAACATAGGCCGGTTGAAGAAAACGCTCCGGATGCCCCATCCTGTCCACAGAGAACACGAGGCGTGCCGAACCCTTCCCCCACGCAAGGCGGCGATCTATATGAAAGATCCATGAAAAGATGCGAATGCGAGCTCTGCAGCACTCTGACATTCTTCGTCTAACACCATCGGGCCACGCGCGTCGCGCACCTGCGCAGGAGTGAACCACTGAGAACGCGCCCTACGGTACGTAACGTTCCAGCTCTCGGCGCCATGTGATGCAACAGCGTCGCGCGTTCAATGACGCGACGGCGCCACTCGCCATGTGGGCACGCGCCATGTGGGCGCCATGCATTCTGCCGTGCCTCCCAGGAGCCCACGAAAGTGGCGACTGTCCCGTAATTCGCAACCCCCAGGGGGGCCGCGAGGTCTCAAATGATCTGCGCTGCCCTCACCTCCGCCGTGCCTCCCACAATCCCACGAAAGTGGCGACACTTGCGCTGCTCGCAGCCTCGCAGACCCCCACGGGGCCGCGAGGTCACTAAGTGATCTGCCCTGCCCACCACTTCGCTGAACCTCCCAGGAGCCCACGAAAATGGCGACAACTGCACAGTTCAGAGCCACACAGGGGGCCGCCAGGTCCCGTCTGGATGCGCGTATTCCTCCACCACGTTGGACCTCCCAGGAGCCCACTCAAACGGCAACACTTGCGCAGTTCGCACCCACCCAGGGAGCAGCGAGGTCTCGGCTGGATGCGCGTACATCTCCACTCCGCTGGACCTCCCAGGGGACAGCGAAAGTGGCGACGGTTGCGCAACTCGCAGCCACACAGGGGACCGCGAGGTCTCGGCTGGATGCGCGTACACCTCCACCTCCGCTGGATCTCCCAAAAACCGACAAAACTGGCGACGCTTGCGCAGTTCGCAGCCACCCAGGGAGCCGCGAAGTCTCAAATGCATGCGCGTACACCTTCATTCCGCCGGACCTCCCACGAGCCCACGAAAGTGGCGAAAATTGCGCAGTTCGCACCCACCAAGGAAGCAGCGAGGTCTCGGCTGGATGCACGTACACCTCCACCTCCGCTGGAAATCGCAGCAGCCCAGACAATGGCGACAGCTTCGCAGTTCGCAGACACCGAGGGAACCGTGAAGTACCGTCTGGATGCGCGTACTCCTGATTCCACAACAAAGTGGTGGGGGTCACATTTGGGGGGGGTCTGATTTGAGCTGTCTTGAGGGTTCGGGGGGGGGGTCTGGGCAGAGGGCCGCTCTTTCGTGGATGGTCTGGGAGGGTCTAAAACTTCTCGTCTGGGAGGGTTGTGACCCCCTCCCTTTTATTACGAAATCTGGAGTACCCATCGGTCGGACGAAGTAGGTAGAAACATGAAGTAGGAAGGCGTTGAAAATAGATTGGGTTCCGCCCGCCCCCTAAGAGGGACGGAAAAGGTGAAGCCATTCGATCATTAAAGTAGGAAGACGCTTAAAGTAGATTGGAATCTGGGAATCCAAAAATACCTATTTTCAACGACCGATGGGTACACATCCACCCCGCTAGCCCACGAGCGTGGCGACAGCTGCACCGCTCGCAGCCCCCCAGGGAGCCGCGCAGCAGGACCTGGGAGGAGCGGGGAGGGGGAGGAAGAGGAGTGGAGACCGCAGTGATCTCCTCCTCCTCCTCCTCCTCCTCCTCCTCCTCCTCCTCCTCCTCCTCCTCTTCGAAACGAGAACCCGACCATAGGAGGGTTGGGGAAAAGTGCGATTCGCGCCAGCATGGAGACGACACCGCCCATGCTGCAAAAGGCGCGGCAGGGCCGGGGACGCGGCGAACAGCCCGCGCGACAAGCCGCAGCGCCTCTCCCTC